GATCAATGCCATCATTTTCAATGGCTGCATAGGATTCTATCTTGTCTACAACAGAATTTAATGAGCTGTTTAGTGTTGTTTTTCTAACACTGGGGTTTGAACTCAGGGCCTTGCACTTGCTAGGCAGGTGCTCCACCACTTGAGTCACACCTTCAGTCATGCATTTTGCTAATAATTTTGGAGATGCAGTCTGGTCAAGTTTTTTTTTTGTTGTTGTTGTTATTCCCACATGCTGGCTTTGAACCTCAATTGTCTGGATTTCAGCCTCCTAAGAAGCTAGAATTATAGGTGTGAGCCACTAATACAACATCTAGCTTGTTCACATTTTTTTGTTATAATAACAAGTTATTATTATTAGTGGACAATTATCCAATTACTTCCTTAGGCATGGTGATGGGGCAAGGAGCATGTAATTCTTACATGTCATGTCATAAGAAACCAAGGCAGCTGGTCTTTCTGTCAGGGAGGAGAAGGGGGAAATGTTAGCCACAGCAAAGCCTGGCTTTTCCCTACTTACCTCTTACTGGTCTACAAGGAAGCCTGGGGTGGCTCACTGATAAGAACAACTAAATTCTCCCTGTGAGAGTCTGGGCCAAACAGAGACAGAACTTAGGGTTTCATCTGGAAAGATTCAGTTTGAAGGAGAAGCAGGCAGGGACTCTCATAAGCTCCTTGGTGATGAGCTGGGTGAACTTCACAGCAGACTAGCAATGGGACACTGCAGTCAACATGGGCATGGAAGAAGATGCCCACCTATCCTGAACTCCAAGGGATTCACCAATGGAACCAAATTGATGGAAAAGACAAATGAATGCAAATATGCTCTGATGTATACTCAATTAAATATACAGATACAAGGATGCCTACAAAACAGAGATGAGCTGGAAAAGGCACTTATAGGCCAAAAAAAAAAGAAGAAAAAAAAACCTTCAAGAAACTCAAGGTTAGCAAGCTGAACTGGGTACAGCTGCAGTAAGAGGGCAGAAACACCATTCTCAGCCCCGCCACTAGCTGGCAGGTAATTGTGGGCATCCCACAAACCCTTTATGATCTGCTTACTAGAGAGCTGTAAGCTATGTGGCATTTTGCAATCTTTTTCTTTCTTTACAGTGGTGTTTTGTTTGCTACTTTAATAACCTCTTGTTGTTTTTCATCTGCCATTAAGTAAATGCCTGCTGCCTATTTACATTCAAATATATATTTCATTGTTTCATATTTAGACATCAGGCCATGGTATTGTTACCTTATACTCAGTTTTTCTTTTCTTTTCTTTTTTTGCCTTATTGGGGATTGAACTCAGGGCCTCTCACTTGCTAGGAAAGTGATCTTCCACTTAAGCCACACCCCCGGTCCTTTTTGCTTTAGGTAGTTTTTTTGGAGAGTCTCACACTTTGGTCCAGGTTGGGGTTGGACTGTGACTTTCCTACCTCTGCTTGCAGAGTAGCTGCGATTTCAGATATGTGTCACCACACTTAATCTATTTTCACCTTTTATTCCAAAATAAGGTCACATAGTAGCTAGAATAAGAGCAGCTCTTAGGCTCAGAGAAGTTGCTCAATAGGACTTGCTCAGTAGGCAAATGAATAAATGAATGTGAGAAAAAAAATACACGGTATATTATAGACTCGTTGGTAAACCCACGAACTTTCCATTATACCTACATTACATTACAGCTTCCTATGTAATTGGAAGCTGTTTCTGAAATTTAGATCTACATCAAGAATCAGATGAGCAATAGTTATATTCCATCTGTGTGCAGCAGTGCAACAGCCAGATGGTCCTGTCTTTGTCAATGCCCATAATCCAGCAACGAAAGAGTTACACCTAGCTAAGTAGAGGGCTTTATGGGTCAGCCCCCTAAGGCCTGGACCAGGGAAAGTTCTGACAGGTGGTATTGAATATATTGTGCATACAGAATATTAATTCTGGAAATAAAGCAACTTATTTCATATCCTGCCACTTCCATTTTCATATAAACTGGAGTAGCTGGCCTAAACCTATCAAGGTCACCTTCAGGTCAAGTCCAGAGAGCTGAGGCCACCCTCCCCACTCACACGATGGATAGAGATGTGTGCCTTAAAGCTGACTTAACTAAAACAAATCCCACTGAACATCTGAATCACTTGGAACACTTAGAAAACTACTGATGCTGGCTTCTTTCTAGTTGCCTGATGGATGGGTCTGTTTGTTTCTAAAGACTCTGCGTCTGTATGAGGCTCCCAGGGTGCTATTACCAATAATGGCGGTCCTTGTTTCGAAGTGAAGATGGCTGAGGCTAAAGGGACAAATATTGGGAGACAGAGCCTTCTCCTCTTTGGCAAGAGGCCCTTCTCCCATCCTCAGTCTAGGTTCCCTGGGTGTGCTCGAGACCCTCCACAGGAGTAAAGGAAGGGCACATGAACCATGTTGGTGACTGGCAAGTTGAAACCGGAAAGAAAACTGAAAAATTTTGAGCACTCTTGTCCAAACCAATTATGACTGAGACCCAAGTGAGAGGTTTGGTTGATGAGGAAAAAAAAGAAAAATCAAGCAACTTCCAAAGACTGTCTTCCATCTTGACATCCTTTAAAATGACCTTTACCCTGTGTCTTAAACAGGATTTGATGATGCTAGGCCCTCCAGGCCAGAAAAGCTACAGTCTATTTGGTAAGAAGCTGGAATATTTTCTGGAATGGTATAGTTACGTCTTTTTTTTTTTCCTCACTCCCCTCACAGTCAAAATAGGCTGTATGGAAAGGCAAAGAAATGCAGGGCTTTACTTCAGACAAACTGAGAGATCCTGACCAGGTCGGGTCAGCTCTATGCCTTGGTTTCCTAATCAGATACTATGCAGAGTATCTCCTGAATGTGTGAAGTTAAAAGTGAAATGCGAGCAATGTACAACATTGCTGCAAATAGCCTAAGGAAAGGACACATGGCCATCTCTTACACACTGGTTTGTATCTTCTGCCACTACGGGGCAAAGACTATCACAATGTCACTCCTCACTGTAATAACTGGTGAGAATATTATCTCAGTGCCTGTTGAATATTATTTAGTAGGATGGGAGAATTGTGTATTTCTTTTTATCTCATGCTACACACACATGTAATCATCATGTTTAAAATATGTATTTGCCAATACAGATATGGAAAGTCAAAAAGTGATGGTCAATGGTCTTACTAGTCAAAAACAAACGATTCATGAAACACTGCCCGGTGCTAGTAGCGCAAACCTGTAATCCTAACCACTCAGGAGGCTGAGATCTGAGGACTGTGGTTCGAAGTCCGCTGGGGCAGGAATATCCATGAGACTCTTATCTCCAATTAACCACCAAAAAGGCTGGAAGTAGAGTTGTGGCACAAGTGGTATAGGACCAGCCTTAAACAAAAATGCTCAGGGACACAACCTAGGACTGGCACCAAAACAACAACAACAACAACAACAATAACAAAACAAAACCAAACCGAAAACATGACATATGTTTTGATCATTATAGACCTCTCTGGGAACTATTACTTGTGAGAGTACCTACCACATCCCAAGCCTTTAGCTTGTTAGTGAGACTAAGGAGATCTCCAGTCATGTTCCATCCATCTCTATTGCTAAGAGCACTGGATACATTACAACAAAGGCAAAAGACCTAAGAGGACTACACGCTTCCACTAGGCTACTCCCAGGTTCTGAGCACCTAACGAACGATTCATATTAGAAGTTAACATGGGAAAGAGGACACCAGCCAGCAACCACTGGGGAAGGATTTGAAGACACCATATTGGCCTTGGAAGTTCAGTCTTGAATGCTGATACCAGAAAGATTCTAAAAAGATGTTTACTTTGTTGAAAAAAAATTCAAAAATTAGGAATAGTGAGAAGTGTATGGTTCAAAAAAAAAATAACATGAGCTTCAAAGAGCATCATAACACATGTCTTGAGACCAAACTGAACAGTGACAATGGTGATGAACTATCATCAGGTAGAAAGGACCCAAGTTTGGGAGATATTGAGCCCTGCTCTAGACCTGCAGAACGAGAAACCCAGAAAAGGCATAATGAAGTTTTCTAGGGTGCCCTCAAGACTGCACCCTTGAAAATGGACAAACATGCTGGGACAAACTTTCAACCACCTCCCCAGATAGAAGGATTTGATTGAGGAGCTGGGAAGGTGGCTCAGTGGTAGAGCGCTTGCCTTGCATGTATGAGACCCTGGGTTCGATTCCCTAGCACCACAAAAGCAAAAAGCCGGAAGTGGCGCTGTGGCTTAAGTGGTAGAGCGCTAGCCTTGAGCTGAAGAGCTGAGGGACAGCGCCCAGGCCCAGAGTTCAAGCCCCACGGCCGGACCCAAAAAATAAAAATAAAAGGATTTGATTGAGGCTTAATGGGGAACCCACATATCCATTTCTAAAATACTAGCCAAACTGAAGTTGGTAGGAAACATTCTGATAAACATAGAAAGAACTATTAGTGAGTTCCATTTATGAGATTTCTGTGTGTGTGTGTAATTTTAGATGTTTAAAACAAACAAATTGAAGACGCCAAGAAAACACCACATTAAGAAATTACTCAAGCGTAAGCCAGGTGTGGTGGTGCACACCCGTAATATGAACATTAGGGAGGCCAAGGTGGCAACTGCAAGTTCAAGACCAACCTGGGCTACATATGGAGACCCTGTCATTCTTCAGCAAATAAATAATAAACAAAGAAGGAAATAAATAAAGAAGAAGAAAAAGAAACTACTGAAGCTTAGTTCTAAAAATTATCAACAACTACAAAAGAGTCAGGGATGCCCATAGAGAGAGTTTGAATATTAACTCTGTAAAGGCTAAGCTTTGTCCACGTCACTAACCTCTCTGAAGTTTCCCCATCTGTACAGAAGGTTTTACCTATGCTCACTGGAGGACTGGATAAACAACAATGCATACTGTGGTGCTTGGCAAACTGTGGAGAGCTCCACAGCTGTAGTATGGCAAGGAACCCATCTCAGTGCTAGATGCCTCTCTCCTTAAAAACAAGAAGCAAATACCTGAGGTGTCACACATCCGCCGTCCAGTGCCATGCGCCCTCCGGGGGTTGCTGTGCCTATAAATAATGTGGGGTTTGTTTTGTTCCTCTTCCTCCTCTTGTTCATCCATAGACAACAGTGGTTCAATAAAATAATCCCCATCATAGGACCGGAATGTGCCCAGCTGCAAATGAAGAGAGGAGATGTTGATTTCACATCACTCGGCCAATGGCAGGAAACAAACAAACAAACGAAAAACCACAAAAAAAGCAAAGCAAAAAAACCAAAAACATAGTTGAAAGATTTCAAGTAGAGAGAGGGTGTTTAGTGCAAAGCCCCTTTTCCCAGGAGGGCTGCTTAAAGTGAGGACTGGACCTCACACGTCGAGTAGTGGTATATCTTCACACTCTGCCACAGCGGCTCCTCGTGTGTGTGATAGGACTCTGGCTTCTTGTGCCAGCTGACAGTTTCCTTGCTGTCCAAATCTAGGTTTTCCAGGGTACCAAACTTCCAATCACACTATTTGCACAGACTGTTAAACGAGAATGTTCCTGAGTGCTAAGGCTGCCAGGACGTTTGGGGACAAATGTGTGCTATACTGGAAAAAGCTGGCAGAGTCTGAAGGCTTCACAGATTCACATCCAGGAGCCTTACATTGGCCATAATGTACTACCTGGACCCCTGGTATACAGACCTGTCAGGACCCTTCCCAGAGCAACAGAGGATCGATGCTCCTGGCTTTGGAGTCAAACTATCCTCGCTTCCTGTCCTAGCAGGTTCAAGGCCAACCACACCAACTCACCCACCTTGGGCAAGTTTCCTGACTATTCTGAGATTTAGCTTTTTTTCTTTTGTGTGTTGGGTCCTGCGGCTTGAACTCAGGGCCTAGTTACTGTCCCTGAGCTTTTTTTTTTTTCTCTCTCAAGGCTAAGGTCCTATCATTTGAGCCACTGTTCCACTTCTAGCTTTTTGATAATTACTTGGAGATCAGAGCCTTACGGACTTTTCTGTACCAGCTGGCTTTGGACCACGATCCTAAGATCTCAACTCCTACGTAGCTAGATTCCAGGCATGAGCCACAGGTGCTCAGGTTTAGTATTTTTGCTTGTCATTTAGACAGTCTCTATAAGGGTAGTTGTATTGTACATATGATGAGATAAGGGAAAGTGTCTGGCCCTTGCTTAGGATTCAGAACCAAGGAATGGTTTTTGGTGCTGTGCTTGTGTTAATCTCTAGCCCTGGGGAAACAACTTGCTTTTCACCAGTTTTTCTGAATATTCCTTCTCCCCTCCCCACATACCTACACATTTTGCAAATGATTGGGAAGCCTCAAGGATGAACAAACATTGGAAGAACATGGAACACTGACTGCCTCGTGCCACCTCCGGAGGATGAACAGAGAGAAATCAAGTTCTTCTCACCCCATCCCCAGTCTTCTTCCCACTCAGAGAGATAATCAGAAGCCTCTATGTACTCTTCCCTGAACGCAGGAGAAATTATAGCACCTAAGTGTCAGCCAGAGCTGGTTTGAAATTCAAGTCATTGTGTTTCACCCCAAATCTGATCAACTACATCAAAATCTCTGGGGCAAAGATATGGAAAATGGTATGCTGCTTTGCAACTCTCCGGAGCCGGGCTGGTGGCTCACGCCTGTAATCCTAGCTACTCAGGAGGCTGAGATCTGAGGATCGAGGTTCAAAGCCAACCTGGGCAGGAAAGTCTGTGAAACTCTTATCTCCAATAAAGTGGCACTGTAGCTCAAGTGGTAGAGTGCTAGCCTTGAGCTGAATTGCTGAGGGGCAGCACTCAGGCCCAGAGTTCAAGCCCCATGACCAAAAAAAAAAAAAAAAAGAAAGAAAGAAAGAAAAAAAAAAGAAACTCCCCGGGTATGTGTATCATGATATATAAAATTTGAGAAGGATTAGGCTCAAGCTGCTTTCCAAAACCAGACAGCACCAAAATGGCCTGTGAAGTGGTTTGGGGTATTTTGTTTATACATTCGATTTAGAATGCCAACGAGAAGACAGTTCTAGAGTGGCCTAAGACCACTAAGACCACCACTAAGACCACAGGGTGCCTGACCACTAGAAAAGAAATTGGTTAACACCTTCATTCACACTCATTCTGACCTAGGCTCCTCTTTCCATTGTCAATACAGAACTGTGGCATTCTGGGAGTCCAGTTAGCCTACCAGAAACACCAACCAGAGGAAGAGCCTGGGAGTTCAGCAGCTGAATATCTGCCTCCAGGGATTGGGAAAGGAGAAACCAAGGCGCAGGAAGGAGACTTGGCAAACCTTCCCTCTGAGGTGGTACAGAAGCAGGGAATGGTGCTAATGCCAATCTAGAATGCAATATTCTGAAACTGGTCTTTTAGGAGCACAGAGTTGGTGTGACTATGGTTAAGAATACAGATGGAAATGCCTGGGGTGGAATCTCAGCTCTTCTATTTCCCAGCAGGGAGGTCTAGGGTAAGATTCCAGCTCTGAAAACCATCAGTAAGAATGGATTATACAGAGGACTGAGTTGTGTGATGATTTGGATGACATAAAGCATTTCTAAAGTTCTTATTACAGCACTTACAGTAAAAGTCCAACACACAGGTTTCATGTCTGTAATCTTAGCTCTTCAGGAGGCTGAGATCTGAGGATTATGAGTTCAAAGCCAACCCATGCTGGACTCTTATCTATAATTAACCACTAAAAAAAAAAAACCAAAGCAAAACAGAAGCAGAGGTGTGGCCCAAGTGGTAGAGCACTTGCCTTGAGTGGAAACAGTGGACAGTGCTTAGGCAGGCCCCAAGTTCAAGCCCCAGTACCAGCACAACTAATAAAATAAAAATTTAAATGACGGTGCCAATATTACCTGCTGGTAATTCATGAACAAGTGGTTAAAGTAAGAACACAATGAAAAAAGATCCAATAAGGGAGGCACATGGATTGATGGACTCTGCTACCAAGTAAAAAGGATAAGAAGGTGAGTACGGAACTGTAGCCCACTAGAGAAGGTGGCAAGCACCCTCAGAGTGGCATTGTGTGCACTAAGGCAAAGGGCAGGGGTGGCAGTCGTTGGGAGAACTGTGGACAGGTGTCCTTGGAGAGAGGAGATGAAAACTGGCACTTTACAGGAAGGAGTGTGTTTCACGCATGGAAAGGTATGCGAAGTAATTTGAATGAAGGAGCACGTGGCAGACTGCTTGAATCACAGGACATTAGGACTTTGAGTGACCAGTGACTATAATGGAAAGGGTATTAAATACCAGATGAAGGAATTTGTATATGTTCATTTAGGAGATGTAAAGGATGCGGTAAAGTATGCGAACAGGGAGGTGATGTGATCTTGGTAGGCACCAGCCTAGTAAGAGCAGGAGAGAAGATGGCTGAGATAGACATGTTCAGCAGAGATGAGCAATGTATCTGAGGGAGAATTCAGCAAAACTGGTAATTGACTTGGGAGGGGATTTGTTGTCAGCATGGCCCATTCTACTGGAGCCAAAGAGCAAAGTGTTAGAACATCATGGTGTAGCAGCTGCTACAGAAACTATAAAGACAAGTTCTTGGGAAGAAAGAAAATTTCCAAAAGGAAGATAAACGGTTTGAAAGGGGTTGGTTGGGGGGGGGGGAGGGTTTGGAACTGGATTAATGGCTGGATATACAAAGTGCCAGCCAGGATGCCTATCTTTAAGATATATGCAGTTCCTTCTCCCCAAAAGAAGCAGGTTGCAAATTAAATGCCATCTAAATGGGATTATCCCAGAGCAGCTGGTGCCTTGGGAAGCCTGGGCTCTCACTTCCTAACAAGACCACGTGTGTGCGTTGCCACCTAAACTACCAATGAAAAGGAAGGTTCTGAGCAGCAAAACATTTTTTTTTTATGCAACTACCAGGATTCAGCCCTGGGAGGCGGGGAGAGAGGAGGAGTAAAGACTGTTTACAAACTTGACGTACACAAGCAGTCTTTCTCTGGGGTTCTGGAATCGGGGGTGGGGATTACTACCTTGAAATCTGGCAGTGCTGTGGGAAGCACTGGGCATGGAGGGACTCCCAACTTGTGCCCACCTAGGCGGTAACCGGAGAGTCCAGGCAGGCTCTAACTCGGGGCCCCATGACTCACCGCAGCACCCCCACCCCTGCGCCAAGCTGCGGTCTCCGCCTACCCCCCCCCCCCACACCACCTCTGCCACCGACTCTGGGAGCTGCTGATTCCAAGGAGCTCAGCCGGGAGATAAAGGGCCTCAGCCCCTTTGCCCCCCTCCCACACCCCAGCTTGCCCAGATCTTCCAGCTCCCACTCTTTTGGCTGGCTTCGCCCTACAAAGGACCTTTCCTTTGGGAAGAAGACCCCAAGCGCAGCAGGCAGCAGAGCACCCCTGGGTGAGTACCCAAGCCCTGGCTTAGAAAAGGAAATGATGAGGGTAGTGCGAAGGGGTTGGCTGGGGGAGGAGGAGGGGGGAGTGGGGCGGGGGTAGGGGGTAAACGCAGGTTTTCATGCCATTTTGCGCGTCCGTGCCGGCGCAGACGGCAAGCCAAGCCAGCCGCGGGAAAGTTTCTGCGTCACAGCGCGTGGTAGAAACGCACGTCGCCCGGAAAAGTCAAGGACCACCCTGGTTGGGGCCAGAACCTTCCAACAGTCCCCTCAAAGGTCCTCGGAAGAGGGGAAGGACGCCCACCGAGATCGGTGGAGGGCAAATGGAGAGGGGGCGCAGTCAGAAAGCAGAAGGTCCAAGTTGGACTCCCCCCACCCACCCCTTCTTCCACAAGTGCGCATTTAGCAAGGCTGGGAGGTGCCCGCCCCGCCCATCCTCCTTATTGAAAGGACTGGGGCTGATACCCCCCCTCCTCCATCTCCTTTGAACCTGCCGGGGTTCCTGAACACCGGAATCGCCTGGAGGGGGGTGGAGGGGGGAGTGGCCTCTCCAGGCGGTCTCACAAGGTTCCCGCATCTCGGGCCACCCCGCCAGCAGGGTGCAGAGTCGGACTGCGCGGCACCGCCCCCCCCTCCAAAAACATAGCCGACGCTACGGCAGGCTCCGCCCTCTCTCCCCGCCCCCCGAGTCCTGGGCCCACCCTTCCGCTCCTGGGATGGGACCTGCTCCCTGTCAATCCCAAATCGTCCTCAAGATTCTTCAGCACGCGATTAGAAAAGAGAGGAGGGGGGTGGGGGAGGCTCCGAAAGAACGCCGGCGACTCTAGATTACATTCCGCCATCCACAAACCACACCGAAGGACCTCCCGGCCCCGCGCCGGGGGAGCCGGGGGATTGTCAACTCCGGTCCCCGCCTCGGGGACGCACCAATGAGGCGTCGGGTCCGCCCCGCGCTCAGCTGCTCCGCGGCCAGGCGGGGCAAGCGCTGCAGCCAGAAAAAACCACGACTCCGGCAACTTTTCTCCGAGTTTGGAAGCTGACTTCCAGGCTGCGGGACAGCTCCACCTCCCACCTCTGCCCCCGAAGCTCCGGCGATCGACGTGTGCGCTCCTGGCACACCTAGAGCTGTAGTCTCCCCCCGCGCCCCCCAATCCCCTTCTCCAACTCGGGGAGCTAGGCGAGTTTCTGATATCTGAACGCTCAGAGACTCCCTCCGTGCGGTTGGTTCACTGTGCAGACCCGGGAGCGCCGAGGAGAGGCGGATGGGGGTGAGGGGGTCGGGCGCGCGCGCACCCACTTACCATTCCCGAGCAGAGGCTAATGACGGCCGTGTGCTCAGACTTAGTGTTGACATGGCCTTTGTAGAAACAGTGCTTGAGTTCCGCTTCTTCTTGGGAATAAAACTTGGTCTGGTTCACCGCGGGCTCCCCGAGGAGGGTGACGGTGAACAGCGGAGCGATAAATCCGGCATGGGCGGTGAGATTAAATAGAAACTGCTGGCCGAAGGCGGAGAGGCGGTAATGCGCCCGGGAGGAGGAGGTAGAAGAGGAAGAGGAGGAGGAGGAGGCGAAGGCAGGCCAGGGGTCAGAGGCAGAGTTAATGCTCCGTCGCCTTCTTTTGAAGTGCACGTTCGTGGGAAAGGGCTCGCCGAGGGCGTTCACTCGGATGGGGGACGCGATTTCGTACTCGCTCAGGGTCTCTAACAACTTGGCTGCAGGGGGGGGGGGGAAGCAGAGGTAGGAAAGCTATGAACTCATTTTCCCGAAAGTTTTAATTTAAAAAGAAAGGGGGCGAGGGGGGGAGCTTTGTTCAGACTTAATTTCCAGCCTAGTCGACCGAATCCTTGCACTCCTCATCAGTGGACTAATATTTACAAAGTGCCTACTAGGGAATCCTAAGAGTCAAGGAGCTCCCCGGGAGGCTGGCGGGGGAAGGGGCGAGGGGAGAGACGGGGGACACAGTGCACAGATTACACAAGATAATGTCCGATCCTGATACATACCCGGACGAATACATAAGTTAAACGCACGCTACCTAGTGAGCCCGATTACTAAGTCACTTTCCTCTGGGACGTGAGGGATGGGGAAAGCTGAGAGACCCGATTCAAAGTGGGGTCGCGGGGCTAGCCATTCCCCATGTCGGGGTCCCCCCCTCCCCCTACACACACACACACACACACACACACACACACCAACTGGCTAGCGTAATGACCCCCCGAGAAGGGACAGGCTCCGAAGCGGGAGGTGAAGTCTTTCTAGGAAAAGGAGAGGCCTCTCTCTCCCTGGGCTGCCGGGGTGCCCCCGCCCAGGAGTTCAGTTTGGGGGAGGCGACGGATGCCCGGGTGGATGGGAGGCTTGTTTTGTTGTTTTTCTTTTCGGGGGTTAGGGAAAGCTCTCCAACCTTCCGCTGATTTACCTTGCCTCGGATGCAGCCTGTCCTTGCGCACGGCCGCCGCGGCGTCTGGGCTCCCCATCTCGGCCAGGTCCCGCACCAGGAGCGTGAGCAGTGTGGCCCAGGATACAAACTGCATGGTGCTCCGCACCCCTCCCCCCGCGGCG